GAATCAAGATAAGGGGAGCTAAACCATATTTTTGTTGTATGTTTGAGCTAAATGCATGATTTGGTTGTTGATTGATTACGATTTTGAGGGTGAATTGTATGATTTTGGTTAGGGTGTTGGACCTTAGGGTTGTGGTATACAAGAGAAGAATTTGGTGAAATTTGTATATCTTTTGTTGCACGTGTGTTTTAAACTTGGAACTGGGTTGTTTGAAGTAGTTATATACTTGTTTATATGTTGCATGTTGAAGATTCGTGTTTTTCAAGTTGATTGAGGTGATTTTCAAGGTATGCAATTGCATACTTTTTATGTCGTATTGAGCATGCCTTTGTGTCAATGGGGACGGTTTCAACTAGAGAATTTTGTCTCGTTCATGGTAGACACAAGATCGGTGGTGTCGAGTGTAAGGAGAGATACTTGTCTCAGGTTGGGATGACGCCAAGTGTGATTTGAATGGCATTGGGTGTGATATGAGAAAATTGTCTCTACTTGAATTGGCGTCATGTGCCAAAGGAGTGGTGTTGATTGTGAGGAGAGAGAATTGTCTCGGATTGACGTGAGGCCAAACGTGGGATTTTGCCATGTCAAGTGTGAGATCTTATGGGCCCTTACCTCATCTACATTAGGCACGGGTTGAGTGGCGTCAAGTATGGGCGAGACAAAGAGTCCCTTCCCTCAATAGTGTCGAGCAGAAAATAAGCTGCATCAGGCACATGTTATGTTGATGATACACGTTGTTTGATGGGTGAATTGATGAACATGAATAGAGTATTTAAGTCTATTTCATGTTTTATGATGTATGATGAATGTGGAGTCTATATATATTGATATGTGATGATATGTAGATATGATATGATGTATTACAATGATGAACATTAATATGTTATGTATGAAGAATATGTTATAATTGCATGGTTGGAGTGTGAATAACTATTGGTATGTTAGTATTGAATAAGTCGTTGAACATTAGTATGTTATTTATGATGATATGATTTGATTGTTATATACATTGACTAGGGGTGATGTATATAAACAATGTATGTTGAGGTATTGATGTTGAGAATGTTGTAGACATTAAAACATGTTGATTAACTTAGGTTTAAAGGAAAAAAGTGTTGTTCGAAAGTTGAAGATCCCATATAGGAAATCTTATTTTGGTGCTCTGAAAGGCTAATTGTTGAAAACCGTCATTGAGTAAGTGTGAATCTCTTGGAATGAATTTTATTGAGTCTCTTTTAGACCCTTAGTTAATGTGGAGTAAAGTATGAAGTCGATGACTACCACCCTTGACTAATTACTAGAAAGGTTGCATGGGATAGTTAGTGGGTTAATTTCATACGTGATTGGGTAATACATGTTAATGTTATGACACGCTTATAGTCAGTTATAATAGTCTTAATAGTGGAATCAAACATTCTTAGTGTGTAAGTGACAACATCCAAGAAATCAGAGGAGGGATTGATATCCCATTTTAATTGCTTATTCAACAAGCACGTATGACGTTAAAGTAATCGAGTTGATTTAGCAGGATCAAGTCACTTAGACTGCTCAAGTGTATTGGAAGATCTTCGTAAGTGAATGAGTGACAACTCATTAGTTGACGTGTACGCATATGATGTGTTGTTGATTGATATGTTCACATGCATTGGTTGAACATCTTATTGTGTGATATTTACTTGGTGTGAGTTTGATTGTTTGGTGTTTAGCTTTCATATTGATTATTGTTTTAAGGATTATTGTATGATGTGAATCTTGTGTTGTTGGTTTGAAGGTTTATATGTGGATGAGTAATATAAATGTTTTTATTCTTATTTATTTTTTAATCTAACTTTCCCTTATTTGTTTTCATGTGGGGGTAAACTATGATTATTATATTTGATATGAGAGCAGAACATGATAAGTTGCAAAGGGTTACAATAGAGGCCATTAGGTGGATGGTAATGCTTTTAGATGTTTTGTGTTACCTCTTATAATAATTGTATAGTTTGTATTTAATTGGTATTTAGGTCATATATTTGACTTTTATTGGTTGATTGTATATATACTATATATATATATATATTTATTTTATAGAGTTATTTTTAGTTGCACTTTTACTTATATATATGTTATATTATACATATTCATGTAGAATAAATATAAAACTTTAAGTATGTTAATAGATTCACTACTAATTAGTGATTTCACGAAATATAATAATTATGATGGATCGTTTCAAATTTCTATAGAATAAAATAGAATGCATAAGAATTCAACTTCTACTTTATAAAAAAGAAAAACTAAATTCATTTCAGTTTTTTTTTTAATTTTTATATTTGATGAAAAATTTATCTGAGTATAACTTAAATAGAAATAAAACACACTTAATATGTTAACAATTTAATAATAATTATTATAATAATTTTAAATATTTGAAATCAATAATCTTAGTACGCATTTGGATTAGCTTATTTTAAAAAAATAATCGATGTTTTTAGATTCATGAAGTGAAAGAATAAATTATGTGAAAATCTCAATTCCAGCATGATCGATATATGATTTCATCTGATAAAAAATAAATAAAATAAAATAGAGTCATACGTTTTATATATAAAGAGAATTTAAGGATTGAATTGAGTAAATTGTTCATTCTTCAACAAAAGTATTAAATTTTATGCAAAATAAAATAAGATAAAAAATTATCCTCTACAAACCCTAATATCTCATCTTAAAAAATATTTGAAATTTTACAAAATTTTACTAAGCCTCTTATTTCTAAACTTGCAAAAAAAAAAAAAATCATATCCCAATTTCATCATAAACCCGCAATTATTTAATTAAAAGATAACCATCGAAAAATTTCAAGTAAAAAAGTAATAATAATTGAGGGGCCATATTTACTTAATTCAAAAAATAAAAGAATTGAACTAGCTGAAAAAGTAATTTTTGAGACCAGACCAAAATTACACATAATCCAAACCAAAGAGATAAAAATTGTAATTATATCTCCTTTTTATTCACCATTCAAATTATTCTGGCTTTCTTTATTCCACTAATCAACATTACCGTGACGTTCAATTCACTACTTTTATTATGACACTTTGTTACACAGCACATGCTACCTATAACATAAATCATTTGTCTTAAAGTCATGAAAATAAATTAAAAAAAACCAATAAAGAAGAAAAATAAAGCGTGAGAGGGTGGCTGGCTTTATCTTGCCGCCCTATCACATCTCAAAGAAGCAACACCGATTTCATTCACACCAAGGAACAAATCTGTCATCTAAAACGGCATTATCAACTACTCAATATACATAAGATTTATCGGCAAAAAGAAAGTAAAAAATAGTAAAAGGAACGAGACAAGAACGCAACTGCAACCTATAATATATTCTTGTCGTTATCACGTAAACACAACACTAATTAACTGCCCCAAGTCACACCGTCGAGTAAACAATACATTTTCTTTTCATACAATGAAAACAGTAAAGTTTGAATGTAAAATATTGTGCAAACTATCCAAATTCCTTATTACAATGTCAATCCTCGTAGAAATATAGGAATGCATGTCCTAGGTAACTAAGGACAAAGTAAGACAAAAAATTCAGCTATATAAGATACTATATCTATTGGCTTATCTCGTGCGATGGTTAGAGATGCCAACTAATCTGATTAGAATTATGTTACTTTATCCAATCTTCTATATATTCATAGTTGCGTTAAAATATGAGCTTTTAACCATTAGCTTTTGTTATTTATAATTCGTTAACAACTCTGCCTAGATAAATTTATTGTGTGTGTATATATATATAAAACTTTAATAATGACCTTTATCATGACATGTTTGATGTTACAGATTCTATATTAGTGTTTTCTTCTTTATAATAATACGCTCAAGTAGGACAAAAAACTTTAGGTTCAGTTTTGACATATAAATTCTCTATAGAGTATAACCCATAATTATGACTTATCACATATGTCCCGACCTTGTAATGTTGTGACTTTTGAAAGACCTTAATGAGTGTTTTTAATAGTATTGGTTAAGAAAATAATAGTATTATATTAGAATATAAAAATCATTTAGTGTTCAATTTTGAAGTAATTGTTAATATTGAAAAAATGTATTAATGCTTTTGACACAAGCTCTTAAAATATTTGTTAGCGAAAGTAACAGATTAAAAATAATATGCAAATGTTGGGATAATTATTTTTGTAAGCGTGAAAGATGTTATTTGTAACTTATAAAGTACATGCCCAATTAGACATTTCAATGATTACTAATTTTATAACTTCTTTTCCTTTTATAATCGTATTTAATCATGTAAGTTGAAGAAGAAGAAAAAAGACAAATAAAATGAAAACTGTCTACAATTTTTTTATTGGATTGGTAGGCTAACTTAACGCCCGGGTTGAATTTGGATTTTCCACTCATTGGAAAAATAAGTCTAACTCAACAACTAACTTTTCAATGGGTTGAAGACATGTTGAATTAGTCTGTTTGACACCCTAATTCACATGTATGGTCTTGTGTTTCGGTGTTTGTATTCTTGATACGATTCTAGTTATTAATTTTATTTATACTAACGGTTATCGATAATAATACTCTATCTTAAGTGTTTTTCTTTTTTTTACAACTCTATCTTAAGTGAATCATCCATTTTAAAGGATAAAAAACCCACAATTAATATTTACTATATAAGAAAATATCGCATTTTTAATAATATGTAATAATGGAACACATAAAATGACAGTGTATAACATTATTTAGACCCAGCGCAAAATTGCATTCCTCAAAAAACAAAAAAAGTTGGATTACTATCGTTTGAGTGCAAAGTGGGCAACGGGCTTACTTTTACCATTTTAGTTTTGAGGTGGTTAGCTATACATACTAGTGGTTGAAAATGAAATTATGAAGTGAAATCAGTTCAATGCTTCAAGTACAATGTGTTAGCACCTCTTCAGTGTGTGCATGCCGCAACACCCTGCCTATGCTTGAAGGCTGAAGCAATTCAAGGGGCATAATGAAACCGGTTGGGTGTTTTTAATCAAGAAAAGAATGATGAAACATTAAGAAAAAAAAAACCTCCGTCTTAATAACTCAAAGGTAAATGATTTTTTTTTTAACCCCACCCATTTCATGTTGTGAAGGAAACTCGCTATAAAAACTATACTCGCTCCAATTTATGTGGTGCTGTACAAGATAGTTGACTCATGGAAGGTTCTGTTTGTACCAACATGTTGCGTGTAACCAAAAAGTATTATGTAGTAGGGGTAAAAAGTGTAGCTAAACCTTGATCCACTGTTATCTGTAATTTATCATAGGCCATCAAAGCCTTCTGCTCACACTTGTAAGTTCCTTTTCCCCTTGCCAGAACCTCACCATCTGAATCTATGATCCCTTCTTTCTCGAGGTCCTTGGTGCGTGGACCAGGTTGCAAACTGAAAGCTTTTACCTGTATAATTTGTTGCAAGATACAAAACTTAGCAATTTTGTTATGCATAAACCAATGCAGAGGCACTTTCAAAGCTCAAAGTAACTGCTACAAATAGTATTACACTGAAACATATTGACGATCAAACCTTTAGGTACGTGACATACGGAGATTTCACATGACCTCCCTTATTCAACTCAGACATCATTGACAGCAATGGTAACTTAGGGCAATTCTTGATAATGATCAAGTCCAGATAACCATCAGAGAACTGCATTTAGAAAATAATGATAACAAAGGAATTGTCAAGCTCATGCCCATAAAGACAACACTTATCAATTAAGTAATAATGTTTATCATGCATATGCATTTGTGAGCCTCTGTGTTTAACACAATGTCTCGCACCAGGCAGAAACTTATGAAAGTGAATATTTAGAGTTTGGTCTAGGGGCAAAATCCTGGTAGCACTTAGGGTCCAGAAATTTATACTCTTGTGATTATTTTAATCTTCAATTATCGTACCCATCATTGTTAGTAAAAGTATAAAATCCAGCAAGTTAACATGCAAATCATCATTACTCATTATTGGTTAACAGCTACCATATGGGGGTGCATTTGGAATCAAATTGATACATAATTGATCCTAGTAATGATACAATTGCTGCCATGGTAGCAATTGGAAACATTTCCCATTATAGCATTTTGGAACAAAACTGAGATATTAAAAAGATATGCTTAAATTCTTAATCACAGACAACTGACCTTTGCATCAGGTGCTGCCATTGTGTCTTCAGCACCCCAACGTACGTTGTGAAGCCAGACAGAAATAAAGGGTCCATTTATAACTCTCCAATTTAGATTTTCCAAGTTTATTTCAGGCCCTAGATAGCAAAGCTTTTGTAAATTAACATTTTTGGCATCACTGTTACTGCCTTGGCTAGTGGAATTGCCAGGGTAATATGAGGGCTCCCCAAAAGCTTCATACCCAGGTGCAGGCACAAAAGAAACACGTCCAATATATTGCCTCAAATTGAAGAATCGACAGAGAGCCTAAAGCAGGAAAGTGGTGAAAAAAGAAAACAATAATAAATAACTTCAATCACGTATCTGTCAAACTAATTGCAGTACAAGTTTTACAATAAAATTCAAAACTGCATCACAAGCAAAGTCAGAAAAGCGTAGTTATGCAACATCCTATTCTTGAGTTTCCCACTAAAGGGATATTTATATTATAGTAACAAATAGTGATTAGAATTTCCCTTCAAAACAGAAATGTAAAAAATGAGGGATTTAACTATAAACAGAAGCACACCTCCTTAGTCTTTGCTACAAAGCCACTATGAATTTCTCTTTTGCCTTATATTTTAGACATGTTTCTCAGAGACATCAGACAAGTATAGTTATACTCTAAGAAATACAAGTAGACAGAAACTGTAGGAAACTGAAAAGAAACCACCAAATTAGTGAGGGGTAAACAAAATGAATTGGACTATATTGGCACTTGAGTCAAGTGTGCGCAGCTACTAGTTATATCTGATTCTGGTGCTAGAAATAAATGTATTTTTTGCAGTATTAGAAGGCATCTATATTATTATTTATATCTATATCTATATTATTAATAAAGACAATTCTCTTCTTTCATGTACACATTTTGATTAGACAATTTTGTCCTTTCTACTATAACTGACCACCTCTCTCATCTTAACTTCCATTTTCTCATTTTTTCTTTTTATTTGTTATTTATAAATAAAATACATAAAGTCATGATTCTCATGAAGTACCACTTTCCCACTAGTTCTACATAAAGTCATAAACAACTTCAGAGGGTAAAATAACCAAAACTAAAGCAGATGACCTGCAATTTGATGGTTTTTATTTATTTATTTATGTTCCTTCCATCAAACTGAGCGAGTAGAAGATAATTGCGACACTAATCCATGTAAGAGACACACATAGATGGAAAATAAGGCATCATAAATAATCATGTAAAAATTATAAAATGGATTACTAACATAAAAATCGAGACGAGCACTTCCCATCCACCGATATTTTTCAGACTCAATGTCAATATCTGCCACCAGACCTGAAATAGAATAATACTTCCAATGGATATCATATAATATGTAAGAGTATTCACAAATATATACACACCCACATATATAATATGTCAAAGTGAATTGCTCGATCAGAATCATATGCAGAATCAAGTCTGGATAAAGATAAGAAAAAATAAAAAAACAGTTATAAATGTTTTAGCACATATGCAGTCACCTCATTGGCATAATTTAGTACATGGAGAGAGTAATTACCCCATGCAAGCATCAATATACTGAAAAACCTGGTTTCCCCTTGTGTGATGGTAGCCACATCAAGAGGTTGTTTATGGCCTGTCAGAATTTAAAAAATAGTTTAAACTTCCAACAGCACAGAAAAAATGGATATATATTTGAATGACATAAATGGATTGAAACCTCGTATAATGGCAAGAACAGCATATGCTACATCACAAGGATCACCGATTGAATCAAGAAGAGATTTTGCCATGCCATTTCCCGTACCTTCAAAGCATGGAAGAACTTGTTAGCTGGGCACAAGCACAACAAAAAATTGTATAGTTACCCATACACCCATTATCTACAGATAACAAGAGATAAACCTTGTAAACAAAATCATGCAAATAATACTAGACCCACCCTCCATTCCTGATAAACAATTATCAGACAATAGCTTCATTTGCCCATCCTAATTAACAAAATAATATTATTAATGATGATAAACCTGCAGGAACTACTCCAAGGGGCATCTTTATTGCCACATCCCAATCCTCTCTTTGAAGAAGTCCATTTACAACCTACTAAAATGTGCAATGTTTGTCAGATTTTGGGGGGGGGGGGGGGGGGGGGGAAGCGCCAAAAAAAA